GAGGATTAGATCCTAAGGTACCCACGCCAGAGAAACAAGATTTTGGGATAGGGGCCATTAATATACCGGATGGTCCTGGGGAAGATCATGCCTACATGTTCCAAATCCCATAAGTGCTACATAAAGAGAAGGAGTTGAAAGAAGAACTTGGAGAGATGAAAGATCAATTGAAGGCTCTTCAAGGATCGAACACGTGGGGTTCCTTAGACTTGAAAGAATTATGTTTGACCCCAGAAATCGATGTTCCTAAGAAATTCAAGATGCCAAACTTCAATAAATATGATGGCACAAGTAACCCAATTTATCATTTGAGGGCTTATTGCACAAAGATGTCCATATGGTCACAAGATGAGAAGTTTCTGATAAACTTCTTTCCCGAAAGCTTAACTGGAGCTGCATTGACTTGGTACATGCAACTAGACCAAACCAAGATTAAAAGATGGAAAGGCCTTGTGGATGTTTTCATGAGACAATACAAGTTCAATCTTGATACTGCTCCGACTAGAGAATAATTGAAAGCAATGACCAAGAAATCATCAGAATCATTTAAAGAATATGCTCAAAGATGGAGAATAGTGGCTTCACAAGTGTAACCTCCAATGGTTAATTCCGAACTTTGCTTGTACTTCATCCATGCATTGCCTAAGCTATTTTACCAACACATGATAGGAACACATGTCACTAATTTTACTGATTTAATGGTAATTGGAGAAAGGATTGACATAGACATACGAGAGGGGAAGATAGCCACTTCTCAAGCTAAAAGTAGTTCACGAAAGAACTATGACCAAAAAAGGAAAGAAGGGAATGTGAACTATATTCAACCCGTAAGACAAGCAGCTACCAGTTTTCAAGTCCCTTATCAAATAGAGGGAAGGAATCAAAGGCAGCAACAATTTGGATTCAGGTCTAACAAGCACGGGCAGGACGCAGAGAGGAGAAATATCCAATCCAGGGATAGTCGCCCATGGCCCAATTTTGGATTAACAAATGCTGAATTGTACCACAAACTTCTGACAGCCCAATTATTAGGTCCATGACCTTATAAGCCTCTTGGTCCGCCTTACCCAGCGTGGTATAATCCAAATGCTATTTGTGAGTACCACATGAGTGCACCTGGACACTCAATAGAAGACTGTGTGATGTTTAAAAGGAATGTGCTAGACCTAGTTGACTCTAATCATATCCAGCTCAAAGAAGAGGGAAGCTCTACCATTACCATTGATCTACTTCCAAATCATGAAAGATGAGTCAATGCTATTGAAGAAGAGGATGCAGGTTTTAAAAGCTCTACAAGGATCGAGATGCCTATGAATGAGCTTTATGCTCACTTAAAGGAGTATGGCTATATGCGAGAAATGCTCCTCATAGATAATATCAATGATCAAATGCCTGGATACTGTGAATATCATCAGGAGAAAATGGGCCATGACATAGAAAGTTGTGAAGAGTTTAAAGAAGCTGTTAGAAAAATGATGGTGTTAGGGATTGTGTTTGTAAAGAAGGGAGACACTAAAGTGTGCATGGTAGAGAAAAAGTGTATTAAGCTTGTCATTAATTCAAGCCCAAAAGAGCAAGTCTAGGCAGTCTCTTTTGTGATCAACAAAGCCTCTGTAGATCTTGCACCTCACGCAAGACAACCAACATTAACTATAAGCACGCCTCATCCCTTGCCCTACAAAAGTGATCGAGCAGTCCCGTGGAGATATCAAAGCATTGTGGCGAACCACAAAAACCCAACGTTAGTTGCCGGGACAAGCAATGAAATAGCAAATGCAGGGGGTGTTACTCGAAGTGGAAAACCATACTTACCATCTTACATTAGGAAAATGATAAGAGAGAAAAATGCAAGTGTTGATAGGCCAGAGGAAGATAATTCTAAAGAAATGGAAAAATTAGAAGATGAGTTTTTATCAATTATGAAGCAAAGTAATTACAGCATTGTGGACCAATTGAAGAAAACTCTAGTGCGTATCTCAATACTTTCTTTGATTTTGAATTTCAAAACGCATTGCCAAGCATTGCAAGAAGTGTTGAATCAAGCTTTTGTGCAGCCTAATATAACCCCTGAGAAGGTGGCAAGTGTAATGAATGTTGTAAAAGCCTCCTCTACCATTTCCTTTTCGGAAGAAGAAGTTACAGAAACTGCTGTCCACCAAACCAAGGCTTTGCACATCACTTTGAAATGTGAAGGGTTCATAATTGCAATAGTATTAATTGACGGAGGATCAGCGTTAAATGTCTTGCCACTCTCTACGTTTGAATTATTATCACTAGAAGCTTCAAGTGTACATAAAAGCAATATTGTGGTAAGAGCATTTGATGGATCAAGATGGGAAGTATTAAGATCCGTTTTGTCTCTCCCTGGAGATAAGGCCAAGTAGGTTTAAGGTGGATTTCCAACTCATGAACATAGACCCAAGCTACACAATGTTGCTAGGAAGGCCATGGATTCATTCTGCTAGGGCTGTTCCTTCTACCCTACATCAAAAAGTTAAATTCATCAGTGATGGGGGAATTATAGCAGTTAAAGGAGAGGAGGAAATCATGATGAGCAAACCAAGCTCACTCCCTTATATTGAGGCTGCAGAGAAGGATCATGGAGTTTCCTTTCAAAGTTTGGAGGTTGAGGGTATTTGTGACAGTACTCACAACATCAATTCCATTGTGGCTAAAATCATGACGAAGAGTGGGTTTATGCCAGGGAAAGGTTTAGGCTCTCATTTACAAGGAATTACGTGTCCAATTAAGGTTTTGGATAATTGTAATTGCCAAGGGTTAGGGTATGAGCCTACCCTAGAAGACCAGATGAAAGACAAGCAAGTTTGGAGAAAGGCAAAAAGACCAGTAAATTAGAGATTCCACACATCAAAGAATCCTTCCCAGGTCCATCTAAGGTGATATATGAACCAACTGTCTCAGTGATCTCTTCTAACGAAGATATAGCATGTGGAACAAGTGCCTCAATTGCAGTTGATGATTCCAACAAAGTTCTGGCGAATTGGGAGTTTAAAGAGGCCAATGATGTCATTAGCTTAGAGTAATTATTTCAATTATGTTGTTCCTATTTTGTTATCCACTTTTCGAGCCCAGGTTTAGGTAATAGATCTTAGGTATTCTCTAATGCAAACTTTTGATACACATAATTCATGAAAATGAATTTCAGTTGCATTCATGTCTATTTCTTTATTCCACCCTATGTACTTCAATACATTTTTTCTCCATTTCATCCCTGTTCCTTATTTTATCTCATTCCACATTCATTTTCTAGGGATTTTATTTCTTCTGGTTCCATCTCTCACCCAGAGGTTAATAAACCCTGTGAAGATGATCCACTCGTTGCCACTGATATGCATGATTGTGAGTCTGATGATGAGGACGTAATCCAAACTTTTTCTAAGATGCTTGAATTAAGTGATAAAGGAATATGCTCACATGAAGAAGTGATTGAGATGGTTAATATGGGAACCGAGGAGGATCAAAGAATGCTTAAAATAGTAGATAATCCTGAAAGGGAATAAATGATTAAGTTGTTCAAAGAATACATAGATGTGTTTGCATGGTCTTATAAAGATATGCCTGGGCTAGACCCAAGCATTGCTTCTCATAAAATACAATTACTTCCCAAGGTTGAGCCTAAGAAACAGAAGTTAAGAAGGATGAATACGGGGGTGTCCTTGCAAATAAAAGAAGAAGTAATGAAGCAGTTAGAAGTAGGATTTTTGGAGGTAGTGACTTACCCACAATGGGTGGCAAATATTGTTCCTGTTCCTAAAAAAGATGGTCGGATTCGAATGTGTGTTGATTATCGTAATTTAAATAATGCGAGCCCAAAAGATGATTTTCCATTACCCCACATTGATGTATTAGTCGATAATACTGCTCGAAGCTATTGCTATTCCTTTATGGATGGTTATTCAGGGTACAATCAAATCCCTATGCATGAAAGTGATAAAGAGAAAAAAATCTTTACAACCCAATAGGGAACTTATTGTTATCAAGTGATGCCTTTTGGTTTGAAAAATGCTAGGGCGACTTATCAATGAGCTATGGTAGCACTATTCCATGACATGATACATAAAGAAATTGAAGTATATGTAGATGATATGGTCGCTAAATCAGCAGAGAATGAGAGTCATGTTGGAGTCCTTAAAAAGCTATTTAGGAGATTACGCGAATATCAGCTAAGATTGAATCCTAATAAATGCATCTTTGGAGCTCTTTCTAGGAAGTTATTGGGATTCATTGTGAGTCGTAAAGGGATAGAAGTAGATCCAGATAAAGTGAGGGCAATTCAAGAAATGCCATCTCCCCAAACAGAGAAAGAAGTTAGAAGTTTCTTGGGACGATTGAATTACATTGCTAGATTCATCGCCAATCTAACAGCTACTTGCGAACCAATGTTTAAGCTGTTAAAGAAAAATTGCAAGGAGACATGGGATGATGATTGTCAAAAGGCATTTGATAAAATTAAAGATTATTTATTAAATCCCCCAATTTTGGTCCCTCCATCACCAGATCGTCCACTAATCCTTTACTTGGCGACTTTACCTCGCTCAATGGGAGCAATGCTAGGTCAACATGATGATTCTGGAAAGAAGGAAAGAGCAATTTATTTCTTGAGCAAGAAGTTTAACGAGTGTGAAGCTCGTTATCCAATGATTGAGCGAACATGTTGTGGACTAGTTTGGGCAACTAGAAGGCTAAGGCAATACATGCTTTACTACACTACCTGGCTAATCTCACGAGTGGACCCACTCAAGTACATCTTTGAGAGCCCGCACATTGCAGGTAGAGTACTAAAATGGCAAGTTGTACTATCTGAATATGATATAAAGCATGTGATGCAAAAGTCAGTCAAAGGTAGTGCGATAGCAGATCACTTGGCCGATAATCCTTTAAAGGATGACCAGCCATTAGATTTTTAATTTCCTGATGAAGGCATATGCACTACAGAAGAAGGTTGTGATGAGGGAAATGATGAAGAGCAAGAATAGGAAATGTATTTTGATGGAGCCGCCGACATGCATGGAAATGGTGTAGGAGCGGTAATCGTTTCACCGGAAGGAAAACAATTTCCAGTGGCCATCAAATTAGAATTTGATTGTATAATAACATAACAGAATATGAAGCTTGTGTTAATGGTCTTCGAGCAGCTATTACCCTTGGTATATAGTGTTTGAAAGTGTTTGGTGATTCAGCTCTCATTATTCATCAAGTAATAGGAGAATGGAGGACAAAGGATGCAAAATTGATTCCCTATCAAGAACTCTTAACAAATTTGATTAAGCAATTTGAGGTTGTTAGCTTTCATCACTTAACTCGAGATAAAAATCATTTCGTTGATGCTTTAGCCACTTTAGCAGCAATGATCCAACTTGATTGTGGAGTCCATGTCCAACCTATTCAAGTAGAAGCTAGAAGCTTTCCAGCATACTGTCTAAATGTTGAAGAAGATCAAGAAGAATATCCTTGGTTCCAGGATATTAAGGACTATATCACTAAGAGATCATACCCAACTAGAATGACTGAGAATGAAAAGAAAACCCTTTGTCGTTTGGCTATGACATTCTTTATCAGTAAAGATGTTCTATAGAAGAGGGGTTATGATGGTACCTTACTTCGCTGTGTGAGTTTGGAAAAAGTAAAGAAAATTATGGTTGAGGTACACGAGGGTATATGTGGCACGCATGTGAATGGTCACACTATGGCCAAACAGATTTAAAGGTGTGGCTACTTCTGGTTAACAATAGAGAAAGATTGCTTTGAGTATGTCAAAAAATGCCATAAATGTCAGATCTATGCTAATAAGATAAATGCTCCTCCAATCCCATTACATAATTTGGTATCACCCTGGCCATTCTCAATGTGGGGAATTGACATTATTGGTCCAATTAACCCAAAAGCTTCGAATGGACATCGCTTCATCCTTGTTGCGATTGACTATTTCATAAAATGGGTAGAAGTAACTTCATTTGCTAACATCACGCAAAAGACGTTCCTTAAATTTATGAAGACAAATATTTTGTGCCGATATGGGATTCCTGAAAGGATCATTACTAATAATGGTCCCAATCTTAATGGAACAGAAGTCAGAAACTTTTATGAGAAGTTCCAAATCAAGCATCATAATTTAGCCCCATATAGACCTCAAATGAATGGAGTAGTTGAAGTAGCCAATAAAAATATTAAGAAGATTATTGGAAAAATGACAGTAACTTATAAGGATTGGCATGAGATGCTTCCCTATACTTTACATGGTTATCATACTACTGTACGCACATCCATAGGGGTAACTCCATACTCCCTTGTTTATGGAATGGAAGCTGTCACACCCATTGAGATGGAAATACCATCCTTGAGAGTATTGGCAGAGGTAGATTTAGAAGAAAATGAATGGGTACGAACTCGATTTGAGCAACTTAACATGATTGAAGAGAAAAGGCTCACTACAATGTATCGTGGACAATTGTACTAAAAGAGAATGGCAAGAGCTTTTGATAAAAAACTTCACCCACGGGAATTCAGTGCTGGTGATCTTGTGCTCAAGAAAATATTGCCTAACCAAGAAGATAACAGAGGCAAATGGGCTCTAACCTATGAGGGACCTTATGTTGTTAAACATGCCTTTTCTGGAGGAGCATTGATCTTAGCTGACATGGACGGTCAAGAGTTAACAAAGCCTATTAATGCAGATGCTATCAAGTATTACTTTGCTTAAACAGAAAACGAAAAAGAAAGAAGAGCTCGTTAGGTTGAAAACCTATAAAGGCAACCTAGGCAAAAGTTAGAGCCAATAGAAAATGAAAAAGAAGGAATAGCTCGTTAGGTTAAAAACCTGTGAAGGCAATCTAAGCAAAAGTTAGAGTAAAGAACAAGCAAAGCAATGATAAGAAGAAGAAGAGTTCACTAAGACAAAAGGATGTCTTAGGAGAAGAAAGGAAGGCATAAGAAGTTAAGTATCTATGTTTGGGAAAGTTGACTCCATTGTCCCTCATACTATGCATATTAATGGTAGCTCAGTGAAGCGCTTGTTGGGGTTTTGAAAAGCCAAAGGAGAGAAATGTGATTAAGCGGATCCATATATCCCATTTGCGCTTAGGCCATTTGTACTCATAAACTAAGATATTCCCATTCCTCTATAAATTTTGGCATTAGAGAATGAATTTTCCACCCCTGCTCCTTTGAGACCATCTTTCTCCTCTTTTCATGTTATCATATTCAAATTCATATCCCATATATTACAACAAGTTCACATTCAAGGAACAATATTTATTGATACATTTACTTGACGTAAAATGTTGGTATCTTTATTCTTACTTTTGGCCCTTAAGGTATCAAGATCATCGCATAGGTATAAAATAATAATGAGAGCATGTGTGCTATCAGTGTTCGGTCATAATAGTTGATTTCATTAACTTGAAGGCAAGATCAAGTGATGAGAATTTGGTCATTGGAATTTTCTAAAGAGGGGCAACGGCATACCGTGATACTACACCTATTAATGAATAAAGGTTAAATAATGGACCTGGAGGTATTACCTTGTATTCAAAATGGTTTATTCAATATGCATGAAAATTTTCAAAAAGGAATATATTAAGATAGTTGTCAATATCAAGCCTTCCAATAAAAAAAATTTTTACAATACATTTGCATTATCCACGCATTTGCATTGGGGTAAATGGGCGCATCTTACCCTTTGCATTTATTGCCAAAAAAAGAAGAAGAAGAAGTCTCTTAAATTGAGACAAACAAAGGTTCCAACCTTTTTACATTGCAAATCATCCATCCATGGTATGTTGTATATATTTTTTAGCACTTATGAAAATCATGGCGCATTGCCACATTGCGTTCCTCGTCATAGAAACATGCCTCATTTGGATTGGGGCAAAGAAAAAATTGAAAAAAAAAACCAACTTGAGAAAGTAAGAGAAGAAATAACAAACCTCACCTGTGAATTTCTCATATTTTTCACGTGAGATACAACCTCCCCAAAGCCCTGTCACGGCAGGCACCCCAAAGCCCAGTACCGGCTGGCACAATTCTTTTAAAGCCCTGTTACGGCAGGCACCCCAAAGCCCAGTACCGGCTGGCACGATTCTTTAAAAGTCCTGTAACGGCAGGCACCCTTAAAGCCCTGTCATGGCAGGCACCCCAAAGCCCAGTACTGGCTGGCACAATTCTTTTAAAGCCCTGTTACAGCAGGCACCCCAAAGCCTAGTACCGGCTGGCATGATTCTTTAAAGCCCTATAACGGCAGGCACCTTAAAGCCCTGTTACGGCAGGCACCCCAAAGCCCAGTACCGGCTGGCATGATTCTTTAAAGCCCTGTAACGGCAGGCACCTCAAAGCCCTATTATGGCAGGCACCCTAAAGCCCAGTACCAGCTGGCATAATTCTTTAAAAGCCCTGTAACGGCAGGCAACCTTAAAGCCCTGTCAGGGTAGGCACCCCAAAGCCCAGTACCGGCTGGCATAATTCTTTTAAAGCCCTGTTACGGCAGGCACCCCAAAGCCCAGTACCGGCTGGCATGATTCTTTAAAGCCCTGTAACGGCAGGCACCTCAAAGCCCTGTTACGGCAGGCACCCCAAAGCCCAGTACTGGCTGGCACAATTCTTTAAAAGCCCTGTAATGGCAGGCACCCCAAAGCCCTGTCACGGCAGGCACCCCAAAAGCCCAGTACCTGTTGGCACGATTCTTTAAAAGCCTTGTAACGGCGAGCACCCTAAAGCCCAATACTGGCTGACACAATTCTTTAAAAGCCCTGTCACGGCAGGCACCTTTCAAGCCTTGTAAAGGCAAGCATCCACCAAGTCCTTTGGAACATAGGTAATTCATCTCCATTGAGGTTGTGTTTTGTTTAGTTCCTAAATCACATTTCGTTTTAAACCCTTTTTTTATTTTGTTTTTTTTATTTTGTTTGTTTTTGTTTTGTTTAGTTATAGGTACTTAAGAGTCTTGCCCTTCTAAACAAAATACATGTTTCTCTCTTCATTCATTTCTAAGCTAAGAATATCTTCTCATGAAATTCTCACTTAGAAATCAAATGAAGAGGGGGCATTTAGTCAACATATATTTTATTTGGATCCTTGTCATTTAGTCATTTTCATTCACGTCACAAAAAAAAACTTAAAAAAAAAATCATTTTATTGTGTTTTGTTAAATAATAGTCTTGCATTCAATCATATCTTGTATTATCAGGGGCAATTAGGTCTTTTCATAGGTATTGCATGGCCGACCAAAATACATATTCTATCTTTACTTGTCACTTATGTAAGAATTCAAAAACACACTTTTTCATATACTTACATAAGAAACAAGTAAAGAGGGGTAACTGTGAACACCATATTTTGTCTGGACATTTTAAATTTAATAAAATAATAATAATAAATAACTAAAAAATATAAAAATATAAAAATAAAATTTAATCTTTTTTAGGATTATATTTTTTAAAAAAATTTAATTTAATTGATAGGATTTAATTTTATTTTAGATAATCTTTTATTGACTAGGATTTTAATTCTTTTAGTTCAAAAAAAAAGACAAAAAAATATATATAATAATCCAAAATCTCTCCACTCTCGGTTAGACATAAACAGACTAAAAAGAAAGCAAGAACAGTAGAGAGCACAGAGCAGTCTCGCACATACACGAAACACACGAACACAGTCAGCACAAAGGGATGAAGCAACCTGAGCTACAGACGTCGAAAGCACCAAGCACACACAAGCAAAATACAGAAGAAGCAGAAACACAAAAACACAGGTTGCAGAAAAGAGCTTCACAGAAAAAAAAACACAGCAAGCAACCAGAACACATATACATACACTTTTTTGCCAGCAAAAAGAAAAAACAGAGCCAGAGACGTAATACAAAAAGTGCACACGAATACAAAAGGAGACAGAGCAGTGAGCACACACAAAGACAATAGCAGAAAAAAAGCAAAATGCAGCCACGCATGCATAGGAAAGAAGCTAGAGAAACAGAGCAGAGAAAGAGCAGCAGAAAAGGAGAGAGAGAGGAAGCCAAGAGGGAAAGACTGAGAGTATAAAAGGTGACTGGAAAGAGAGGATCAAAGAACGTGGAAATAAAGAAAGAGAGACCAAAAGACGTGAGAAAGAGGCTGAGGAGGAAGGAACTGACTTGCTGGAGAAAAAGATAGAAGAAATGAGGACAGAAATGCAGAAAACAGAGCACGAAAGAACATAAGAGGAGAGGAAAAGGAGACAGAGGAGAGTTCAAAAAAAAAAACAGAGACAAGAGAGGAGGTGACGGAGGAGCTTCTTTTTTCTGGAAAAGCTAAGAGGGAGAAGGAGCTGTTCTGACTGGAGGAAACCGAGAAGGAGAGGACCGAAGGATGCGAAATAGGGACTGAAAGAGAAGGAGCCGTTCTGGCAAGCTGAGGAGACGGACGGAGAAGAGAGAGCTCGAAAAAAATAGAGACTGTCATCCATAAGCAGAAAAAATAGAAACCAAGGGAGAAGAAACAGAGACGTCCGAGAAAGAAGGAGGAGAGTTTGAGCTTTCTAAAAAACAAAGAAATCGAGAGAAGGAGGGAAACCAGGAAGAGACAGAGAGACAGAGTTCTTCTGATT